TTAACACCAACGAAAAACAATTAATGAATATTCGATCAGGAAATGTGTATCTGGTCACTCAACGCGTCAGAACAGTTACATGGAAAGAAAATCCTGCCTGACAAAGTTGGTTCCTTGAAACACTAACAGATTACGTCGACTAAAACACCTACCAGTGGATGTGTTGTACCTATCATATGGAAGGCGTGTGATAAGTGCCACACGCACGGTTACCACACGGCATCACTGACAAGATTTCTAAATATCCAAAATGCATATTCATAAAACACAAATACTTAAAAATAAAAATGTGACAAAAATAATGGCAGGCCCTTCCAACCCCTGCCAGAGGTACACACCTGACGCGGGAAGCAGCTCCATGCCCTAGAACGCTCGGTGTGTAGACGTGGAGTGAGCGTCCCCCATGCATGAATGATACACAGAGCGATGTTATGTTTTACAGTATTGTACTGCGCGAATAGTGATAACTTATCTCGAGACAAAACAATATATATAATCCAGGAAATACGTTACAACACTCACCCCTGACAGCCTGGTGGTGACTGACGCCCTGACCACTGTTTAAGCGGGAAATTTAGGCGCAGTGATACAGTATCTTCACTAACTTATCTTGCCGCCATGAAAACTAGTTCTAATGAATTATTAACAATATCACTCGTATTATCATTAATTCGATAAAAAGACAAATCAAACTCAATGACACATTTCAACATAAAATTTGGTTAAGCTTCCTACACTGGCCCCAACTGCACAAAAGGTAATAGGAACTTTACTACTGAGTGGGTTATATTTTAATTTAATTCATGCAAACGAATGAATATTAAACACAGTAGCACTTATAAAATTATTTCGGGCTTATATTTTCCATTAGGGAACAGAGTTATACTGTATAATATGTAGTTTCTCTCTTAATTTAGAATTGTTAATGATCATAATAAATGCAGTCTTATCATCCCTAAGAAGTAGAAAAAACATGTTACCATTTTTCATGTTAAGGTTTAGTGGCCGTGACTTGTGCATTTATATTAAAATGGTTACAACAAATCCATTCTGTGCCACTAGAATATTAAGCCAGCCACATCCGACTTTGTAAGCGTGCATGGTTAGAAACTCTACAGTCTCGGGTTAAAGAAAACAGTATTACAGAAAACTCGGAGTTAAAGTGTTTAGAGTAGGGCTGTGGATTCTTGGAATAACCTGCCAGAGAGTGTCGTGGTGACACCTATAATATTTATAGTATTATCTCACTGAAGACAAGACTAAAGACATTATGGCTAAAAGGTCTTATAAGAACGGCGTCAAATAACTGAGAGGTGTTTCCCCGTTGGAGTACTGTCACCCCGTCTGGTCCCCGAGATATGCTAAGATTTTCAGCTGATTGAAAACGTCCAAATGAGGGCCACCAGACTGGTGCCTGCACTACTGTACCTCAGCTACTCAGAGAGATTAGAACGCCTGCAGTTACCTACCTGCTTGTACTATGAGCGAGCAAGGGATGACTTAATATAAGTTTATAAACACCACAGAGGACATTCCTCAGTCGAGTGTTCATACCTCAAGATACCTGGAGCTGGCGGATGCCCACCCCAGGGTCACAGTGGCGGATCTAGGGGTGGAGGTCCTTGGGGACCAGATCCCCCCATCAGGAAATTCCAATACTTTTTCTTTAATGCAGTATTGTACTCAGACATTTTTGTATAGTAAAAAGTAATTACTCCTGACCTCAGAATATTTCCTAATATCAAATGCACATGGCTTCAAAATGGCCTCAAAAAGCTCATAATGTTGGTCAGATTTTAAAAAAAATTCTGAGGCTTACAACGCCCCCCCAGCTGAGTGGCCTTGCAGCACTCGCCATGTTCCCCCACCCACGACTTCGTGGAACTCCCTCTCCCCTTTTTTTTAAATTCCTGGATCCGCCCCTCACAGCTTTAGGTAGGAGAAGACACAAATTTAGAAAAATTTCAGGATGTTAACAGTTTTTATGGGTGTTGCAAACTCCTTAGAAAAAAAACGGAACTGAGTTTGAAATCATTCAAGACTGTGAGGGCAATATTTTGGGGATTCAGAATTATGAAGTCTTGGAACACTCTGCCAGAGTGTTGTGACGGTGTAGTGGAAATTTCCCCTACAACTACAACTGCCGTTTGTCGCTGACTAGCAGATCCCTTTTCGGGTTACCCAGCCAATGCCTCGTGGTCTAAGGTCGGCTACTAGCGACGTCTGACAAAGCGCAGGTCAGCCATCGAGCCACGCCTACCTCCGTTATATAAGCTCTCACTTTCTGACCCTCTCTCACCATGAACGGTTACGAGTTTGACAACGTGGCGCGGATACGTCCGGATAAGCCGACCTGCCCCAAGAAATTAAACCTCCTAGTTCTCAAGAAGTTCTTTGAAACTAAAGGGATCGGGGGTTACCAAGGTGGAACGACGGAAACTCAATGGAGACATCAAGATCACCTTCGCCGAGAAGGGTATGCCCGTACAACTCGCGGAAATCCCAGACATCAACGGCATCCCAATAAAAATTATTGCCTACAAATGGGACAACCTGAAGCTGGGAGTAGTCTCCCACGCCGAAATTGCCCACGTGGACCAAGCAGAGCTGAGTGAGCTCCTCAAGGGACAACTCCAAGTTGTCAAGGTGTCCGACACCACTGCCCTCATCGGACACCGTGCCCTACCCAAGGAGGCTCAACTGGCGTGGGTTACTGTGCCAGTCAAGCCCTACTGCAGACCGAAACGCTGCTAAAAATGCCAGCACTACGGTCACTCCGTCAACAAGTGTGAGGCGCAGGAGGACACCTGCTCCCTGTGCGGCAGCCCCGGACACCGCTACACTTGCAGAAAAATAAAGGCAAGACCCCTGTACTCCCAGCTGAAAGTCTCGCTACTCTCGCCAGACTTCTCAATTTCTGGGTGTGCCCCTGAGTGGCAATAATTGAATTTATATTGTGAGTGTTAGTAATAAGTTATTACTAATAACACTATTGTAAAGGGAAAATGCTTATAAATCAAAATCACTAAAGAAATAACAAATGAAGCCTCAGCCATTACTGGCATCTGAACAAAGGCAGCAGCCAAACGTTGTAATTCTAGTAATACTTGGCTAAACAGACGAGGAGAATTGGTGTACGTTCTTGGACCCTCTTCACTTCTTTGAAGAAATCGTGAGCTATACTTCGCTCTTTAATCACTCAGTTATCTATAGCTATGACTAACTATATGTAGAATTGATGTGCAGTCAATCCTTAGAAATTAAAAAAAAATATATATAAAATTTGTAGGGAACTTTGTAAACATGACTGTCCCATCAAAACCCTAACCACCGCCTACCACATGATTTCGCCAGTATATGGGTTCAGTCCAGGTTCATATTTTGTTTCTTTTTCCTTTCTTTATTTTTGGTAAATTTGCAGTCACACCGCACTCTGTTAGAAAGTCAAAAATATATATTTTTCCAATGTATTTGTGTGTTTAGACCGAACATGGCCTTCATTTCTGGTGGAAATTAGCCGGGGGTTTTTTATCGATTTTTTTTCGTTGGACGTTTTCCGAAAAAAAATCATGGCAAAATGCACCAAAAAACACTAGAAAAACACAAACCAAACCTAACCTAACCTAACTGACTCTCACCATCTCACTATTTCTTACCTTATTGGCCTGGTTCTTGTTCGTCATTGCATTCAGAGATTCTTACACAACGCCACATACAGTATGTTGGTCTTCGTGTTATTTACATCCAGTCTTGCTCTTAGTACACTTTACTGCGGTTGGAAGAACACCATGCGATTGAAAAAATGCTATAGCTTCTTTTTTTCCAAAAAACTCACAAGCAACTCCATATAATTGAAGTCACCCATCACACACTTCCATGGTGACGTACACGGAACGCCTGCGGCTCACTATTTACGAAGGAGACGCAGTGAGGCAGGTGATAATGGAGGAAGATTAATGGAAGAAAATAGAGACAATTTTGGATACACTTTCTCCGTTATTATACATTTTCGCCGGTAATGTAATAGATGAAAATTATCTTATAATTAGACGTCTAATTAGAATATGACAATAGATTAGTGGTAGGAATGTGCGGTGTGTGTAAACGCAAAAATACCTTCTTTTTTTGCGCATTATAAAACTTCTATCTACCTGTTTCTTTATTAATCTCAGACAAACGCAAATGAGGTATTCCTGGTAAGCTAGGTAAGGCAATGTGTGAACCTGTAACGATCTCTATGAGCGAGGTGCTTCCTCGTCTGGAGTACTGTCACCCCAAGGTCAATGACCTTGTGTCACCCCGTCTGGTGCCTGCACTACGGCACCTCAGCTACCCTCAGAGATTGGAGCGCCTGAACTTGCTTAGCTTATACTACAGACGGGCAAGGGGGAACCTAGTTGAGGTGTATAAGCATCTCAAAGGGCACTACTCAGTTGAGTGTCCTTACTTGGAGCTGGCGGACGCTTGCCCCACAAGGGGTCACAGCTCAAGATTGAAGAAGCCGCAAACCCAGAAAAATGTGAGGGTTAACCTTTTAGGAGTGAGAGTTGAGAATTCTTGGTACAGTCTGCCAGAGAGTGTTGTGACGGCACCGAGTATGAGCTCTTTAAAGACCAGACTTTACAAGCACTGGAGCAGGTTCAGATACATTCAGGAGCCAGTGGCCCAGTGCATGCCCAGTACTTGCCAACAGTGCGTGAGAGACATGACTGACCGCCAAAGCGGCCAACCAACAAGCCGGTCAGTGTCGAAGAGAATAAAGTGAAGATAATATTAACTCTCAGTCTTTTCTAACAGGGAAGATAAAAGTAAAATGAAATGGGAACTACGTTTCCACACATACATATCAATCCATATTCTCCAAAGAAAATCTGATTCAATCAATTTTATATATGTATTTTTTACATTTTATTAATATAAGTACCTTCAATGTAACTGCTGACTGTTACAATTTGTGATAAATTCCCGGTAGCAGGAGGAATATCCAGTAGGCCCGTATCCTGTCACTGAGTGTAAACAACAACTGGGCCAGCTATGTGGGGAGCCTGGGCAGGTTGTCGGGTTTATTTATTCACGCTCATGTACATCCTCGGCTAATACTTAATTTACACACATAGTAAAATCAGCATTATATGAATACATCACCGCTCTGGTACGTAATATCTGTGTTGTGTTAAAAACTTAAAATGTTTATAAAACGTCTTATTTCACATAGCGGATTCAGTCATAACTAGAGAGCTTCTCTATTGGCGAAGAATAGGGAGACACTCACCAATTTATTCTTCACTTTATCACATTTTGGACAGGAGTTTTAAAGAAACCGATTTTCTCTACATATAATGCTATTTTGTTTAGGGTGAAGAGCAGAAAAATCGAGTTTATTAAACAAAAATTTGAAATGTTTACAAAGCTCAGTGGTCACTGAGGTAGGCAGACCTAGCCTAACCTAACCCTATGATGGATAAAAGTGTGTGGTTAGGGTTAATAGTCTTGTTCTCTTTTAACAGGATTTTCACCTGTATGTTCGTTGTAATGTTTTAAAGAAGGTACTTTGTATTTAATAGGTGTAAAGTCATGCACACTTTTGTTGACCTTCAGTGAGTCTGGGAACTTTCCAAAATACCAGATGCTGCATCATTAACTCTCTCTCTCTCTCTCTCTCTCTCTCTCTCTATATATATATATATATATATAGGCACAGGATATTGGTATGGCAGCTGTATGTGAAACGTCGATGTCTATTAGTACGGCAGCCTAACGAGTAAGCATGGTGGGCAGACTGTACAATGATAGTTACTAAGATGGCTTTCTTTCTGACTCACCTAACCTAACATTACCCAACCTAACCTAACCATTAACAACACAGTCTGTCAATACGGCTGCCATACCTATATCCAGTGTGATTTCTGGAGTACAGCTGTCATACCCATATCCACAACGATAGATATAGTATACTGTATATCATTTATAATACAGTATATCTGTTATTATTAATTTGCACAAGAAAACCGACTCAGAATTAAACTATATAAGAAGAATCTATTTTCATCATGAAGTTCAGATTATGTTCTAGACCAAATATTAACCCAGATATCTTCTATTTTGTGACAGGTTAGATACAGTGTTGTTGGTTCACTGTTGTGCTCTTGGCAGGTTGGATCACAGCAGACCAGCAGATACATGTGGTCTTCAAATGTTGGGGAGGAAATCTTGTGGAAATTATATGGGATGTTGGAGGTACAGCGGTAATGCTCGTATCTCTCACCAGTTTGTCAAGGGTTTGAGTACGGACACACGTGAGAAGTGTGAGGCTACCAAACATCACAGATTTATCAGTTCCTGGGAGAGACCAACTGCCTGAACAGCTAATAAGTTGATAAATGATGAAAATTATAAAAAATAATTAAAACCAAGAATACTGTAAAGCTTAGGTAAAGTTCAAGTTTACGTAGGTTAGTTTGATACATTTGATAAATTATATATACAGGGAGTTACGAACTGGTTCAGTTCCTGAGGACGTTCCTTAGTCGGATTTGTACGTAAGTTGGAACACCTGCTATGTGCATACTGTACTTACAGAACAATGTTTAAAGTACCACTATATCATAGCCCAAGTCCTTATATACATCTCAAGTCACTTAATTTAAGAGTAAAGAAGAAATAGAATGGCAAAATACAGCAAATGTAAGTAAAAATCAAATCATCAGGTAAATAAAATACTGTAAATTTTATGTTTAACCTCGTCCGTGTCGGAGGGCGTTCGTAAGTTAGGGACTTCCTGTATACATAGAGCCGTATTTGGTGTTTTGGGAAGTTTACAGACTCACTGTATATAAAGATGTAAACAAAGGTGCACATGATCTTAGGCGTGTTAAATACAAGGGTAATACTTGACAATAGTGGTCCAGACTTAGTAGCTACCTGATGGAATTTTTCCATAGAAGATAAAACCTTTCCTACCTCTAAAGACATACAACAGATGCAAGGCGAATGTGTTTTTCAAGATATCAATTTTGACGTGTGAAATGGCCGGGGGAAGATTAAATATGAAATAAGTGTAGTATTTTATGTCAGGTTTGGTAGGTTAGTTTTCTTCAGTTTATTAATGAAATATTACAAATTGTAAGAATGTAACATAGGGTAATTAAAACTGAACCAAAAACATAACTACAGCAACTTAATTATTACACTGTTGTACAAGTCAACAAATGTCTAAAAAAAATCTAATCATAATGTTATGCTGACCTAACAACCTCTTACAACAATAACACGTGCTAATGAGCCGATCAGTGGTGAAGAGGATATAGGTAAGTGTAGTGAACATTGTTGGGTGAGAGATATTACAGCTTCTCTTTTTTATATTTTATTTGTTATTTTATTTTTGTTCTTGTTTGGGATGCGTTTATAATACTGTAGTCTAGACGGTGGCATCATTGAACACTACCGCATTTTTGACTTTGCCTCTGCCTACTTAGCGGATTCTAAACATGAAACGTACTGTGATGTCATTAATATTGACATCATAAGAAATCAATTTGAATAGTTCACGACTTCCTTGTCCTTTAAACTGAGCTAATTAAACACAGGTATGGAATGTTTCATAACTAACATAGTTTTTGTTTCTATAGGATGTTGATTGAGGGAGATGGAGTTACCATTCGACCCGCCCTCCACCCCAGGAAAAACACCCGGCAGCCTAGTGAAACAGGCGTCTCGGAGCTTTGCTCTGAGATTAATTGATATTTCTCTACCAGTAATAGGAAAATATTGGGAGGGAGAGATCAAACCTGGAGAAAATACTAAGTTTACCAAGAAAAAGGCCCCAGACAAGAGCGGTCTTGTTGTGAGTACTGAGGTCAACACTTATTGTGGGAAGACCCATTTTATTGTGTGTTTTCTGATCTGATTTATTGCATTTGTCTTTAAAATTATGTTAGAATATGAGGACCTGTAGTGTGTGTCTCATATCTGATGTATATACAGTATTGTGTTATTTGTTCCCAGTACTGTGCACCGTGCATAAGACTGGATCTAAGGTACTGTACTGTAATTTAAGATGTGAGGTAGGTTGAGCTGTTGTACAGTACTACCGACAATGAAGCTACTGCTTGTTTGTCAAACAAAAGTGTTTTTTTTCCTAGATATTCCCTTCTAAGTTAGGGCTGCATCTAATAAGGCAGGAAATGCTATATACAAGTTGAACTACTATTCCAACACTTCTGGGACCTGACCAGTGCCAAACCATAGAAATTTCCGAACCACAGAAAGTCACCTGAAGAGCATTTTCTCTCCACTCTACTAATACATGAAATAGAAAGACAATACTGGAACACTCCAGTTAATAAACTGGTTAGGGACTGTAGGACCATTTGTAAGGTGGTTGTTTAAAACTGAAAAGCTAATTTCTCGGAGAAACAGTAATTTGAGGGAAGAGGGGATAGATTCTGAACTGCCTCACAAAACCCGATCAGCTAAGTGAATACTGTATATACTGGTACAGTATTGACATACTCAGGAATCTTTTGGGAGTAAAGGCCAAAAGCCCACTAACTTTGCCTTATTACTTGTCAAGTGGTAAGGTAGTTTATATATTATATTGTAAGTAATGCTGCCTGTTGCTGTGACTGCCTCATCCACCAATGACCCCTGTAGATGGCCAGCACAGAACAATGTGTACATTACAATCTTAACACGTCCAAAACAGCACTCAAAACACTTTACAGTAATTAATACGTTCCTGTACTAATTTCTTATGCCTCAATCAGTATTAAGGATCACCAAAAGCCATTCAGAAAAAACTTGTAGCTGTAAAACTTCACAGCTTCCTCTGATTTTGTGTGTGTGTGTGTGTCTATATATGTTTGTTTTATTACAGAAACACCTGCAGAACGTGCAGCGGTGGTACCGTCTGGACGAGTATCTGTCGAGTCACAATTCAGAAATTCGCCGGCTTATTTGTGAAGCTATTGCTGAAGCTCTGCCATCTTTAATGCCAGTAGATGATGCTGAGCCACTCTTCATGTTTACTCTGCAAATTATGTTTTGCCTTGAAGCTGGGTTTTTCAGCCAAAGTAGAGAGGTACAGTAAGGTTCTCTTTGTTTATTGACAGGTGGCTGAGTACATGTGGATGTGATATCCAACAATACAATACAGTATAGAAAGTTTACTGAGTCTAAAACACTAGTTCATGCTATAGGGAGTTGACTGTATATGGTGATTAGTATTAGTGTTTTGAACATTAAATTATACTGTTATTCAACCCACTGTCTTACCTCAGTCACAGGCATGATGATGCTGTAAAACTTCTACTGTACTGTATTAATAATTTCATGTGCCAGCAGCTGAAAGCCCACTTGTGCTGGAGACTCTTGCTCCCTTATGAGTATGATCTACTGTGTGTACATATACAATATCTGTAAATAAATGTGTGTTCAAGTTTTCAGTGGATCTTTTATTGTATTATTACATCTCTATAACATATCTTTTGTCCTATTAAGACTTTTATAGCTTTGTACGTTGTCAGGCTGAAAGTGCTGCTAGTTTTTCTTTAATAACTCATACAGTAACAATAAAGCGTAAACTTTCCAGGAGGTGAAAGTTTAGAAAATTTTACCAATTACCGTAATCTACAAAGCATTGATGATGGGATTCTAACATTGATACTCTTATTTTGCATTTGTTTTGTGCTGCAGGACTCTTTATGTGACAGAGCTGTGTTTCACTCCCTGGCCAACTGAGTTTTGATGACATTGATTATATTCCAGTACATGGCATCATGAGATATTAAAATGAAATTTTTTTTTATTTATTGATACATATGTCTTTGCCATTTTAGAATTGTTCACATAGCTCTATACAGTAATTTCTAACTGGGTATTGGTTGAACAATACAGTTAGTACATCTTACCCATTGCAACTGTTGCCCTTGACAAACAGAGATTAGAAAAAACTAAAGCAGCTTATAATTAATTCCTGGTCACTCTTGTTGAAGTTTCATGTGGCTGTAGATGTGTTTCCCTGTCAGTAACTTCACTGTACATACTTATTATTTTGTTTTCATTAGAGAAGGATTTTTTTTATTAATTTGCTGCTTTACCTTTTTGAATCCTAGATATTTGTAATTAATGAAGTTGTATTTATTTCAGATATATGACGGTAGACTCAGCCGAAGCTTTGCGGAGTTCTTGCAGTTCTTGATGCCGTTTGGTGTAGAAACAATTTATACGACGTGCATCAGTTTTCGCAATGCTATGCCTATCCTTGTGTTGATAAAGAATTCACCATATCTAAAACATGTTCATCTGTACAGGAATCTCAGCAATCATGTTCTTACTCAATTAAGAAAATATTGCCCAAATATTGAATCAATAACACTAAGTGGACATAATGTAGTGAGTGAGGAGTATCTCTTTAGAGCATTCTTTGGTGGTAAGGACAAAACTCAGGTTATAAGTTGTGTTGAGTGCAGGGAAAAATTGAAACTTTCTTTTCCCAAGCTGAAGAGTGTAAATATGTTGATGGACTTAGATAATGATGACATAATGTTCTTCCTTCAGCACTATTATCCTAATATTAAAACTAGCTGGACAAAAAGCATTGCTGAAAATAGACTCACTCCACCCACTCTGAAGACTGTACTTAACCCACCCCCACGTTTACTAGAACATGGATATTATTATGAATTTGACACTTTGGAGTTTACAATGAGGAGGCATACTCTGGAGAACTGGATTGTGGATGAGGAACACATAGAGTATCCAAAAGTAAAACATGTTTCAATATTTCACGCCTGTCATGATCTGTCTGAGCAAAAGGAAATAAAAGAAAAAATTAAAGATGTTGTGGAACGACTTGGATGTACTACCTTCTCATATTCCTCACCTCCTGCTGAGGACTATTTAGACACTCTGAGTGTTAGCATTCCTGTTCTTGAAACATTAGGAACTTGTTTGACTGAAGCACATTTGAGTACATTTGAAGTCCTTGATGCCAGGATACTTTTTAATTGCTTAGATTTGTGTCCTGGTTTAACAATTTTTTCAATTAATGCCTCGCGGATTCAAATGGACTCTGGTTTGCCCATAGTAGGGTTGAATAAGCTTCCACATTTACATTCTCTGGGCATGAGTGTCAAAACATTAAATAACTCTGAGAAGTCTTGTCTAGATTACATGGTTCGTGCAGCACCAAATCTTAAAACCGTTGAACTGTTTGGAGCCAACTTGCAGTCTGTGGTACAGGACTTAGTAATCTCAGGAGCTTTGTCCAAAATACAAATTCTCTCCCTACACAAGAGCATGTCTTGGTTTACTGACCATGATTTACAGAACTGTATATTCTTAGGAGAAAACTTGTGTTCTCTCTCTGTGCTCATGTTGAATCCTATTCTTAGACAGACACTTTTCCAAATCAAAACTCATTTCATCCACACACAACTCAAAGTTATTCATAGATATAAAATGTTAATAGGTTAAGTCATGTTAGGAGGTAATTGATTGTTTTACTTGTGGTTGTGAATATAAACTTGTCATAGCAGCTGAGCTAATTGATATAAGTATTTATTGCTGAATAATGTGATGGATATTCACCTCATGTGATAAAATACTATAGAATGTATAGTATGTAACTTAGATAGTCATTCACAGGGTTCTCATTATCAGTTGGCTGCTGGCCAAATTAACCTGTTTAACTGATGTATGGGTTGGTTCATATTTTTCCTGAAACAAAGTCTTAATTTGTCTCTAAACAAATGGGTATTAATTTCATTACTCAGAGACATTGTAGTTTGTTCTGTTTGTTTGGGCTTCTTTCTGAAACATTTTGTGAAGATCCTGTAGTCAGAATAGGGTGGCCAGCGTAAGTCTTCCTCCTTAGCACTTGGTTACAGATCACCCCCCTAATAGAGTACAGTGGTACTACACATTCTCTGGACACATTTACATGTTGGTTTAGATATTGCAGAAGTGAAATAGTTGGCCTTTGTTTGCACTAAATTTTGAAAGTAAAAGAGAAGTTTTACCTAAGCAAGGTTTGACAAATGAGAGTGTCTTAAGTAAGGACCAGGAAGAGACAGGAAGGAAGAAGTTTACACAAAAAGGAAGAGATTGAGACTGAGATTGTAGCAAGGTTTGACTGGGTAATGAAGAGTTAAGAAAGTGTCATTTTTCTCAGTTATGTATCATTTTGTTGCCTGCAGTGTCCAAGCCTTGTTTGTGAATTTTTTTATTTATTTACCTTTCATCTTGCTACATCACTGAGGTTCTCTTTTACAGTACAGTATGATGGTTCATATAATCTCTTCTTTCTAGTGCCTAATACACTTTGGCATCTTTCCACATAATGATCAGTGTTTGAAAAGTACCACGAGCAGAACCATTTATTTTTCGGGTGACATAAACCAACCAAACATCACTTATTCTAGATGTCTTCTTTCTGTCAGGGGGTCGATGACTCTGGCTCCCCACTTCAAATGTTTCAGTCCGTCTTTACCAATGCTCTGTTGTTTTGTATCTCCAGTCAGCTAGCTTTTAATTTGATTTGTATATCGGTCTCTGCCTCCCCTTTTGCCCTCCAACCTTTATTTTTACCTAGTCTGGAAGCTAATCCATGTGTGGTGTTGCAATGATTTTCAGCTTTTGTTTCTCGGAGTCATGATGGTCTTCTTAACCAGTGCAGTACTACTATTACTGAACACTTAAGGCCTTAATATCAAAATGGAAGGCACTTGAACACACATAAAAAAGCTAACCCAACATGACCCACAGCAGGACTGGCAGAAACATCAGCGCACTTGTGTTTGAAACAAAACGTCCAATTCTGTACAGTTGTTTGAAGAATTTGTGTAATGCTTTGCGATAATACTCTACTTTTTAATGAGTAAAGATGTTTGTAAAATACAGGACAGTCTGTAATTAAATTAAATTGACTATTTAGCAATAATATTAACTGATCAGATGAGAAATCAGACATTGCACAATGAGCTGTCACATACTGGATGACATAAATAAAGTTGGACAGACTAGCCAAAAAGTGACATAATTTTTTTATTATAATTAAATAAATTTAATTTCAAAAGATTAATTAACCAAAAGATGAACAACGGGGTAACAAACAGTAATGGCTGGCCGTACAGGTATTCTATATATGTGAACTTTTGGTATCTGAAATTTCACATAACTGAAATAGACAAATTAGGGACCATTTTTCTATGTATGCTGATATGAAGCTACAGTCACCCCAGAGAGTATTAAAGGAACAAGTGCTAGTGTACAGTATTCCCCTTAAGTATATTTCATGAGAAAATGTTAACAAATTTTAAAGATTTCCACTTGAATAGAAACCCTGAAGATATCTGAATACAATATAAATACACCCACAATTGGTAACTTGGGTATTTTGTATTTCTTGCATGTGTAGAGTACAGCTGCACTTGAGGCTATGTAAGGCATTCACTAATATTTTATCTTCCATCACATCACATTATATGGTTATATTTTCTTTGAACTGAAATATTGTTTTATTTGTGTACATTTATATTACCTCAACTCTAGATTTTTGTCTCAATTCAAGAGAAATTTTTGATTTTTATAGCAGATGTGTTTTTACTAATGTACAATAGTGTCTTAACTGTTGTACACTCCATGGGGTGCTGAGGCTCTTGGGGATGTTTGGAAGCCACTGGTAATCAAACTAACATTAAAAATGTCAACTTTTTATTTCAACACAGTTTTGAACTCCACCAGGATCTTCCTGAAGTGTAAATATGTAAGTGATGCTACAAGAACATTTTGGGGACCATGAGAGATTTGTCAGTCACAAAGAATGCCTCCTGTAGAAGCAGCTACTGTACTGTACTCAAAACAAGTGAGCACAACAGTGTAGGTGCAAAGAGCATATGCACACAGATTATTTATGTAGAGCCAGTCACTTAAAATCATCTGCATGTAGTTGTCTATATAGCGGGCAACTGGGCTTGTGCAGTATATCCTTTCAGCCTTCCTTATGTAACCACAACTGAAGAGGTTGCTGGTGGATGTACAAAGCTTGATTTACAGTAAAGTTTGGTTTATTCGGCAACCAGTGTCTCTTAAGTCACATCACTTAATCTTCCAAAGCAGTTATGTTCCACAAGTTAGAGAGAATGAATGACAACAGGTGGGATCAGGGTGAACAGAATCCATCTGTCACCCAAATTTAACCGACTGACCTGCTTATGTATAACTCCTGTGTTTTCGTTTGTATTTCTTTATTACAAAATACAGTACCTTGTTTACAGTTAACATAATTGCAAGCCATAACCTCTGACCTCTTATCATTGTGACAACATGTTGAAATTGGTTGATCCCTAAAGTGTTCACGTGCAGGGATTAGAGAACTGAATCACCTTTACTGTATCTTATTGAGTTTTGTATTTAATGCTTCCCAAAATCAGGGGGTATATACAGTATTGTACTCTGTGCTTTATTTGTCTGTTTGTTTGTTCATCCTGCTTTTTATGTCCGCTCTATACCTTTAGAACCAGAGAAAGATTGTTGTGATATTTTACAGGAAGGTTAAAGCTAGCAAGACAATGTGGTGTGATGACTCTCCTCTTGATGGTGTCACACTTTGGTCAAAGGTCAAAAGTGGACATTTTTAGGAAACGTCCTCTGGTTGTACCAATTTTCTTGTACTTTATTGTTGTTGTTGTGGAGAGTTAGGCAGAAAAGTATAGAAATTTAAGTTTTTAAATATTAAATATCAAAGAATTACAGAACCATTTGCTCAGTTTTTCTTAAATTAAGAGTACAGTAATTGATATATTAAGTGTAGAAAGTGTGCATTTTTTTTTTTGAGGTTATCTTGACTATCCCAGCTGAGGGAGACTGAATCTCTTTGTACCCACTGGATCCATCACAGATGTATCCTAACCCAAGAAAAGGTAAAGCCAGTACAGTACAGTCAGTACTGCGGTATTATAGCGAGAAAACTTAATAAAGAAGGCAATTTATGTGATGATTAGTAATAAGTTAAATTTAATGACAGAAAAGTCTAGTTTTTGTGTTGTAAACTTATGAGGAGTCATTGAAAATTATATTGCCAGAAAGATTTATAAATTTTCATTTCAAATGGGCCCCAGTCCTAGTAGACCCCAATGTAACCGTTCATGAGTTTTGCATACGGCATGTATAATAGGATTTGGCCCTATTGCTAATGGTTGGGTTGTGATCTTATAAGGCTGGAGCCTGTATAATGTTTTGTTAATGTGATGGAGTAAGTTATTGCAGCTGGTGTTTGCCTTTTGAATGTTCATTTACATCACTTCCAATACTTCATTATAAGATAAAAGAATATCATTCGCGAATTGTCAAAGGGTATGTCTTTATGTTGTAAAGAAGGAAAGTAATTTAAAATTACTCCTTTGTATCATATGAAATTGTGTTTAATATGTTACACTGTATACTAAGTAACCCGGTCATAGTAAGTACAGTACAGTATTTATGGAGAGTTTGACGTGACACTGACACCCCTCGAGTCTGTCAAATAGTTCACAACACATTACCTTGGTGACAAAGTGTTGTAACTCCACAGTTTAAAAGGTCACTGAGTGCAGTATGTAAGAATGAACTGCCACCTTACATGATGTGTAATGTGACTCTTGCTGAAATACAGTACCAGTTAATTATATGATTTAATATCTTTTACTTAGATTAAAGTTAATGGAACACTTTATGTACTGTATCAAGAAAATTATCAGGAGAAAGTTACAATACTTTTGTCCTAAGGCATTGAACAGCTCTTTAAAGACTATAGGTATTGTTTCTCACAGATATGAGTTGTAATATCAGTATTTTTACGCATATATCCAGACGCTAGTTAGAGTGTCGGATGAAAAGGAAATCTGCAAGGACCTACTGCATGGCTTTTGCACAAGAAAACCATCATTATTAATTACTCAGCAATAGTCAGAGAGAAACAACTATAATAATGATATATACATATATATATATATATATACTATATACTACACGTATCGTAACTTATTCATATATAGGGCAGTATATAGTCACAATTCACCAGCCGCAGGCATTTTACCTCGGTTAGGCTGTATAAACTTCCTTATTAATTTTATGCTTGACTATGACATAATTTTCAAGAGAATATTTCAGTGTTTGGCGTAAGAAATGCTTTATGCATAAGTTACTGATAAGTACATATACTGTATATGACATATGACAATGACTGAGAATTAGGGAAATATTTTGAATGTTAAAGAATTTTTACTTTACAGTGTTGGTTTCTTTTGTGTTCATATTTTCCACAGCCAGTATTTACATTTTCTTAATGCTTTATAGTACAGTTCAGTATTTTATATCTTTAACAAAAAATACACAAAATTACTTAGAGACTGTATCATTTATTATTGTGTTTCAATAGTAATGAATTTATTTATTCATCAGTTGCCTTACATGTATTGTACAATACATGTATAGTGAAATTTGAAAGTGAAATGTTAATGTAGGTGTAAGACTGAATGTTTGAGTTTAAGGGGAAGTTAAGTGTTGTGTAGCAATGGTTTCAGTGATAAAGACTGTACGTTCCACAGAAATTACCAAAGGATAACTTTATTTAATTAAACTTACTCCTGTGGAAGTGTAATGTGTTTGGTACCATCTGCTGAGGAAAGAGCAATTTAATTTTGGAGAGAGTGGATGAGAAGGGAAGGTCATATTAGTTTTCAGTAATCAGCTGCTTGATGAGATGGATATTGCACTCTTTGAGTGCATTTGTTGTTTAATACTGGAGTATTACTGTATAACCTGTATTCATTTGCATAAATAATTCATCAGTGTACATAGTGCAGTTATGGCAAAAGTTGAAGATATGCTGTGTACTGTCAGACAAATTATCTCTGTCACACAAGGTAGGGATAGTTTTGCTCTTCTTTCTTTTGACACGATGTTTACCTCTAAGTTTTCATAATTGGATTAATGGATGTTATAGTATATCTCTGTTACTTTAAGAAATATAACTATATATTTCCAAACAAAATGTGAACACTATGCTACTGTACTGGACCATTATGAGATAAACATGTCTTGGAGATAGCGTCAGTTTCTGTTACAAGTTATGGAAATATACATTATGATTATACTGCTGGTATATGTCATTAACCTTCTCCTTATATCACAGGGCAGATAATGATTGATAAAAGGATTGTTGTGTTTTGTTATGAGGCTGGAGCAGGACTATAACACTAACTACAGTAGATGGGTATTGTCCTCCACTCCTTTTAGTTTTGAATTACCGGTAACATAAATTTTAACATTGAAAAAGGTTAAAATGACAGTCACACACACACACACTTCATCACAGTATCCACCCATTGAAAATCTAAAGGAGACACCACTGGAATCCTGGCTGGACATCATGTATTGAAAGTGAAAGAAACAGTGCGTGGAGGATGAGCTGATTAAAGGTAATGACTCAATGTGCAGAATGAAGGCATCCAGGTACTGTAATATTAAGACCTTATCCAAGAAGATATGTCTACTCTCTCTTGTCATACTGACCATTGACTGAGGATGTGTATTAATGGTAGATTCAGGGGGCATAAACACTGCCCTTTTTTATATGGATATGCTCCTTCCAATCTCTCATCACTTTGTCATCCTCACTATCTACCACTGCCCTGGTCAGTCCTCCCTGTACCACTGCCCTGCTCTCCTGGGGGTATCCGGACCCCCTCTTTTCATCAGAAAATTCCAATACTTTTTCTTTAAATGCAGTATTGCACTCAGGCATTTTTGTATAGTAAAAAATATTTACTATTGACTTCAGAATAATCCGCTAATATCAAGTGCGCATGACTTCAAAATGCCCATAATATTGGTCAGATTAAACAAAAAAAATGGGGGGGCGCTTGCAGCCTCCCCAAGGCAGGATGGGCCCTCTGCGCTCGCCATATTCCTCCACCCACAACTTCTTGGACCCCTCTTTTGGTATTCCTGGATTCGCCCCTACTCTATCCCTACCACTGCCTTGGCCAGCCCTCCCCTCTCACTGCCCTGGTCAGCCCTCCCTTACCACTGCCCTAGTCAACCCTACCCACTACCTACCACTGTCTAAGCCAACTACTTTTGATATGGGCAGCCCTACACACCACCTACCATTGACCTGGCCAGCCCTACACACCACCTACCATTGACCTGGCCAGCCCTACCACTGCTCTGGCCTGACTTACCCACCACTGCCCTGGCCACCACTATCCACCACCTACCACTGTCACCTTTAACCACCTCCTGTTTTTTTAATATTGGTGTGCTTGATGTAAAAATCGTTCATATTAAATTACTTGAACTTTTCGAAAGCTTGTGTAATAACACATATTTAAAATAAGAAAGGAAAACTGTAACGAAGTTCATCTTAGAGGATTCGGATAAAAAAAATTAAATAAAACTACCTAAGGTTTTGTTTAATTAGGTAGTTGTTTCATAATTTGTATTATAAGTTTATAGATGAAACTGCTGCAGTAATGATAGTAAAATATTTATGTTTGTGGTGTTAGTGGAGTGTATAGTGTCGGCGTCACCTCCAGGTGGTCACAGAATGACACCATCCGGACACTTGTTTATCAACACGAGTGGTGGTGACCCTGGAGGACGTCTGTGCTTGTTAGACAGTTTACAGGCAACATATTGACTTATAATGGGTTGTGATGGCGGAACGATCCCCAGGAGGGACGAACTGGTGAAGACGAAGAAGAAACCTGAACAGGTAATTGTTTATGGGGAGATGTAACAGGTAATGCCTGGACGGGTTAACAAGGAACTTTACAAATTGTTTCTTTACAAGATAATTTCTGGTAACAAAATTTGTTTACAAAATTGTTTTTGGTAATATTAAACAACCGCATATTATTATGAGTCACTTTAGGAAAAATCTATAGAAGAAAACTTGAAACAAGTTCCTCCATCTGATTTGGGGATTTTGAGGAAACAAGTTTTCTTCTACAGAACATTTTTGGGTTAATATTCCGTAATTGTTTTAAACTGAACTTTGCATTGATACTTTTATAGGGAGATAGAGCAACACAAAAGGTAACACTGAAGCAGATGGCTAAAGCCAGAAGTTGTTTGATTTTGTTCATTTTTCCACATGTTGTTTGGATGAGAATACTTATTAAAAACAATACAACTTTATTTTATGGCACAAAAATGATGTCGCTGTGTACCCTGTATGACAACAAGTTAATTATTTGCCATAAATATTAAGCCAAAAACTCTGTCGTGTCTACGAGTGTTGTCTGCTCTTTGCTTATTCTTGGACCGAGCGTACTCTCGCATTTAAAAAAAAAAATTGCACCATGCTGTATTAAGAAATTTGCTTTTATTAGTATCAGATATCAAAATGCCTGTAAATACTTTCTGTTTAGTATGGTGGAGAGTCTGCCTCTGGCTAGGAAGTTAGGTAAGGTTAGGTAGGTTTCTTTGGTTGATTAGGTTAGGTTCCATTAGGTTCTCTGTATTGTTGCATAACCTTTCTTACTTACTGTCATCCAAAGAACAACTGTGGAAAAAATGAATGAAATCAAACAACGCATTCTGGTGTTAGCCAACTACTCCAGAATTTCCAAACAAAAATCAGACTACGTACTGTACTTTATATTTACAGTACTGTGCCTACTTGTAGTGGCAGCTGGGGGATTGCAACTTACTGCTGTACACATACATAACATGCTAGGTATTTTTTGTTGTGTGTCCCATCTTATTAGAATATGTGAGCACATACAAATTGGAAATTATAATGTACAGTACAGTATATCTTTCTGTACCTTACTTTGAGAAGTATTTTAGGGATTTCACTGAATGTTTTTCATCAAACTGAATCATTGAATAGTCACCAATTGTCTTTATATATGTGTCATTGTCACACAGAAATGCACAATGTACAATAGTTTAGATAAATAGGTTAATGAAATATCTTAAAGGGTAATTTTGTAAAACTGATCATTAGCCATCGCATAGCAGCAATTAGTGTTAATTTTTTTCATTGTATAACTGATCGAGCACATATTGATCGATCATATAACAGTCATTGTCTGTACAGATTTGTTTGCGTAAGTAAATATTGTCCTTGCAAGAAGCGTAGTTTAGACTCGGGAAAACTTACCCCGGTACTGTACAGTACTTGGATAAATTCTGGGATGAGAAATTCGTCTCCATACTCAGAAATCTCTCATTTCTGGAAGAGCTTTGCACCAATTTTTCCGGCTTATGAGAATATCACTACTATGATTCAGTGAGCCACAGATTGGGGAATCACAAATGGGAATTCCTCTGATTGGGTAACATTTACTTTACCTAGATTACTTGTTACCACAAGCAATATTGTAATGTATCTGGTGCCAGAGATTTCCAAAACTATGAATGAGAGTTGAGTTTATTGTTGTAAATATTGCTTATTGCAGTACAGTATACACTACCATATGCTACATAGCAGTGGGACATATGTATAAGATAAGATATTTAATATATGAATGTTGATGGTATAAAGGTTAGAATTTTTCATTTCTTTATAGAAAGACAAGAACTCTGAGCGTCTGTACAGATGGCGACACTGTTCAATATCACAGACTCCCTTGAAGAAACCTATTGTTGCCTGCGAAATAGGTCGCATGTATAACAAAGAAGAGGTTCTTACTAGGCTATTAGACAGGTCAGCTGAACCTGGTATGTCACACATAAAAGGATTAAAAGATATTAAGGAGCTGAACTTGACGCCCAACCCTGGCTACATCCATGAGGGAGCCAATAAGGGGGATGCCTATACTGATCATCAGGCAGCAGAGTTTATTTGTCCTGTCACCTCCCTGGAGATGAATGGCAAATATCATTTCTCCTTTGTGTGGAGGTGTGGCTGTGTGGTCTCTGAGCGAGCACTGAAGGAGGTCAAGTCAGATGTGTGTCACAAGTGTGGTCAGCCCTATCAAGAGGAGGATGTGATCCCACTCAACCCATCAGAGGAGGAACACGACGCTGTCAAAGCACGTATGTTATCTCGCCGTGCCTTGGCCAAGGCTGCAAAAAAGGCTAAGAAGGAGGGGAAAAGATCAGCTGATGGGGAGGATAATGATGCATCAACATCCAGCAGCAGCAAAGGAAAGAAAGCTGTAAAATTGTCTGATGGTAAGTAAAGTGCAGTACAGTACAGAATATCTTTCTTTTCCTCAATGTGTTATTTTTACTGTGACATTTGTGAAAATCCCATATTATTATGATTATTTTATTTTACTTTTTATTATAAATTTTATTTACTATGAATAATTATTACATCCCCCCCCCCCAGGCCCCGACGTGGGTCAGTGACCTGTGCCCGGGTGGGCTAATTTCCTTAAACAAGTATATTTGTACTGTACAGGGGATATATATAAATAACATTAATCATAGGGTCACAGGAAATTTATGCACTTGACTGTGTTTGTCTCTCAGTTTTGAGGTTTGATTTGTTGAATTCTGATCCCTACCTTTATTGCATCCCTCAACAAAATTTTCTAATGTGTGTTGGCTTATTGAACCATAGTTAAATGGTTCCGTTGCTGTGGATCATTAAGAATAATATTAAATTTATTAGATAAACATCATTCTTCAGGTGCCAGTTCAAGCAGCGACTGTAGCAAATCATCTCTTCGTGTCAATGGCATGGCATCAGCTGTTTTGAGAGATAAGGATTTTAAGAACGTTCGATCTGCAGGATTCAGTGTTGCTTCAGACCCAAAGGCTTCAGAAGTCTACAAGAGTCTGTTTGACACCCACAAGACGGCTCAGAAGAAGCAGAGTGCTCACTGGGTCACTTGTAACCCTCAGTACTTCTAAGGACATTACCATAATTTATTGAGCTCTGGCAAATTTACAATGGAGTAAAATGTACTATAACAGATCATTTCTAACATACATATATTGTGGTAGTTAAGTGCATTTTACAATACTGTATTAACTTTGATTCCTATACTTTGTACACCATTGCACTGTGTTTAAATAAAAGGGATGTGGATTCTTTCAAATAAATGTTATTGATACTGTATCTTGAAACGCATTAAATTTACGGCAACAGTTGGCTTCTGTTCTCCATTCTTTTTGTCCAGTACTTTAGATTAGTAATTATTCCAGAATTGTCATTATTAATTTTCACATTTTTCTATTAGTGAGGAATTTACAGTAGAGTATGTGTGTTTTCTTTTATATTTAGACTAGCTTATGTTTGTGTACTTTTGATGCATTTGAATACAAACATACTGTATGAGTGTATTTGATGTGAAAGTTGTCTTTAACACAACAACATTTAAAACAATATATTTTCATAATTATATACTGTCATCGATATCAACTTGTAGGTACACAAATATTGTACAGTATATTCCCAGGTGAATCTTTACTTATTGAAATATATGATAAAGAACAGTACAGTACACATTATATTTGAATATAAATGCTATTGGAGATTGATGTGAAGTTCAGTAAGAGTAAAGTCTTGTATATCTTAAAAATACTATTTATTGTTATGATGAATTGTATTTCTTCAGATTATTTTGTATTCACCAATAAAGACTTAACAGGTATAACTCTTATTTATGTTTTTAGTCCAATGAATTAGATCACTGAGGTACTGTAGCCATCTGTATTCAGCTGTGTATGGATATTTCATGCATAGTCTACAAAAAAAACCAGTTTAAAATATTGTATTGTGTACAGTGATCTCTCGGTTAATGAAATTTAGGTTAACGAATTACCTTCCATAAGAATCTTCAATTCAGTTAACGAAAATTGTATGAAATCATGTCGACATGTTTTTGCTTGCTCACCAGCTGGAATATTAGTCCGCCAATATGGTAATCGGTTCTAAGGCTTAAATTCATTCCCATTTGAGTAAATATCAAGAAGGTTGTACAGGGGTATTCAATAATTTTCCAAGTTTTATATTAAATTTTTTAATCATTTTAACACTTATTTAACATACAGTTCCTCCCTGACTTACGATGGGGTTAGGGGCCGACATCCAGGTCGTAAGTCAAAAGGGTCGTAAGTCGGAAATGCTTAAATAATACATAGAAAATCTAAAATGGATGTCTCTTTTTCTTCTCAGCACCACAAAACACTCACTTTTAAGCTTGCCAGCCATTTTACAGTGAATTACAAATGAAAATTTTGTCTGTTTACTGACTTTGGGACTCGAAAATACGTAATTTGACCAAATTTTGGAATGAATGAGGCAGGTCGTAAGTGCGGGTGGACGTAAGTCTAGTAGGTCGTAAGTCGGGGAGGAGCTGTAATTGGAGTACAGGAAACTAGTTTGTGGTGCGCCCAATAGCCACTTGACTCACCCACAAAGGCGTCAGTTTGTATCTCTGGTCAGTGGAGGTAATATCTTGCTTGAGACTCTTGAACATAAACTATTTTTACATTTTTACAGTACAATTATTGGTCATTCTGAAATTTATTTTACATATTGACAGTATTTAGTGCAGTGCAGTGCAGTGTTGATTTAAAGAAAAGAATCTTGAATCACACCAAGTGAACTTAAAATTTTATGGGTGAAATGACGGCATGAAGCATGGGGTGATTTCTCTTCCACCCCCACTTCCTTCTCTTCTCCCTTCTCCTACACCCCCACTTCTAATTCCCATCATCATCATCATCAACCTGGAGCCTTCTACATACACACCTCAAAGTAAGTTTACTGGAATGAATTGTGTTCGTTAACCGAGGGACCACTGTATTATGAAATATCCACAACCAGATAACCAAAACTATAACAAATTAGTACTGTTGGCATTATCTCCGAGAACAGCAGTGTTGTCAGTCATATACAGTAAATGTTTACTCGACTCCTAGAAAGGCCTGGTTTTATATTTTTAACCCTGGTAACCTGTAATTATTGACTCCATTCTTGTGGTTAAAACATGGTGGTAAATACAGCTATCTTGGAGGATGTAAATGTGAAAATATGATCAAAGTTGTTATATACTTTATAGACTTATTGATTAAACTGATTACTGGATTTTCATGACTATAGCATTAGCAGAAGCTTCTTTAGATGTGTTTTTTATAATAAATTACATTGTTTATCCTGAATATAAAATTGTGTTTGAGCTCAGAAGGAGAGTGAAAATCCAAAACCTTGCCACCTACTGAAAAGAAGGTGGAAGGGCAGGAGGAGGCTTATTGTAACAAACTGCTGAATGGAAACAAGACTTTTGCTGGAGGATAACATGGCAATAATGTGAGGGCAGATAGCTTTGGAGTTTTGGGTGTTGATAATGTTAGTCCATGTGGTCAGGTGAGAAGTATGAGTAGAGGTGCTTGTGCTTGCCAAATACCTGTAGATGGAGTATAAAAGGGGAGGGGTTGGGTTATGTTGAAGATGACAGGAGGGATGCAGCAACAACCAAATGGATACAGTGTTCATTTCCTGCTCCTTAGGTGTGAAGGTTATGTGACTTATGGTAGGGAAGTGAAGTCGATTGTGGGCAGTACAGTATAATCCACATTGGCTGCCTTGTATATAATGTACAATGTCTATTCTACCCCCATTGGGATGTGAAGCCATGGGACCCTCACTTCAAAGTCAGTGAATTTAATGATAGATTTTAAACCCTCAAAAATGGTGTACAGATAATATTGGTACAGTTTTGTTTATGGGAGGAACAGATGGTTGAAGATCTAAAGGGAGGTACAAGAAGTTAATAAGGTAATATTCGATACATTTTTACCCCTCCAAGTTTTGTCAGGGGATGTCATTGATAACCTTCCCTTTTGAGTCAGTGTGCTGTAGTGGACTTTGAAATTTCTCAAACAGATACAGTATTTTTTAAATTTGTTTTTATTCGTTCATTTTTACTACACTAAAGAATGTGGTCTACTTTGGTACTCCTCTTCCTAAACAAGGCTCCTGATCAGGATTACTCGTGACATTCACACAGGTGAGCACCAGCAGCATGTCCTCCAAAGAGCACACATTGCTACTGTATAAGCTCTCTTCATATATGTGTACCTCAACCCCTTAAATATCAACAGGATTCCCGTTAATTCTAGTGCCTCCTATAATACAGGAAATTTCTATCAAGATAAAACTTGATTCCCAACCTTTCTGAATCCAGTCTGCTTTATCTTTGAAACTGTCTATGCTAGAATTTTTAGGATGCAATAATTAAACTAAATATTTTCCCTTGTACAGTAATGTAGACTTATTTATTTCTATTTTTTTTCATTCATTTTTATCGCCTTTCCCTTTATACAGTATAGTGTAGGGGATTGTCATTTTAGTAAGTAGTACAGTATTCATATACTGTGCTTGAAGATAATACAGTACAGTACTGTATATCTTCAATAATTCTATATGAAGACTGGCTTCAAGTGAGAAGGAATTTATAATGGAGATAAGCTTTTAACAGCATCCTTAGGATTTTGAACTTGCTGAAGCAATATGAAATTATGTGAAAATTGTATTGAATATATAATCCACTTCGATTTGTGAGCGATTTAAATTTTTTATTTAGCTAAAGTCTTTGACAAAATGTCGTATGTTAACAATACCGTTTGTAAAGCTCTAGAATCTAGATGGTATTTTTTTCGGTCATACTGAATACCGAAAAGGATTATTAATAATATATCTAATAAATACAGTAAAAGATTGTCTTGTCTAGTAAACTGAACTACGTACATGAACAATAAATTAATAATTGTTGCTTAAAGGAAGTGATTTGAAAAATATATTTCTCATGTAGATAAAAGTAACAGAAGGTTTGATCTTTTTTGTAATTTTCGGTATTTAATATTATTTTTTCTGAAAATTGTTTTTTTTTATTATTTTAGGACATTATTTTAAGAGGAACATTTTTTTTATAAACTTTAGCCTTGTTACATCTGATTGTTGTCTTAAACACATTTGTGGGGTCTGTCTTCCCGCCATTTCTCAGATGGTGGCGGGAGTCACGGTGGCGACGTCATCCAGGACTCAGAAGCCGTCTCTTGAAGGTTTGGTAGTGTTAGAGAAGTAGGTAAACATTACTGTTGCCTTCTTGAAGCTTTAGCAGTTCTAGAGAGGTAAGTAAAAATTACTGCTGCCTTAACAGCTTAGAAAGTGAAGGAATAATCCTCGTATTGGTAATGTCAGTGCGGGCATCACAATTGGAGGCTAAAAGATCGTGCTCTTAAGTCGCTCTGTTGCCAATAAGCCCTTCTTCAGTGCATACAACTGCCCAGGAGATTAAACTTAATCTTAAGTTTACCTAGAAAAAAATGAAACGTTTAAACGACGTACATATGTTATCAAAACTTTTTTTTGTAAAATGAAGGATGTTCTGGAAAAGGTTTTGGTCAAGATGCGTTTGAACACCCCTGCCATTTTCAATAGAATGAGTTAATATCTTACTATTTGAACTTTAGATATAGGTTACGTTGCCCTTTAACATTCTTGGATAGTCATTATTTTGAGGTAATATCGAAAGTCTAATTCTCTGAAGAAAATACATGAGCGTCTCGACATCGTTCGCCTCCTTTCCCGCGTTAAATTCACCAATGGCGCTCCTGTTCCCACAATGCACCGCGGTTTCAACTCCACCAATAGCGCTCCACCGCCACCTAGAGTCAAGTGCCCGCGCAATTACTTCAATTCGAGTCTGGAGGCCTTGGAGTGTGAAGGCTGTTCCCCATTTTACTTTAAGACAATCCAGGATAATTATCAGAATGACGACGCAGCGCTAGAAGTTTTAAGGACCACGAAGTTCTCCCAAGATTAGTTACGGTAAATGCCTGAGGTTAGGTGATGTTAGGTTTCATTGCAGACAAAAAAAAAAAGTGGTGTATTTTGGTTTTGTTTGAACGTGACTCATTTTCTTGGGAAATTCCCCATTTCTTAGTAGTCATATTTTCTCATAAATGGGGATTTTCCAAAGAAAATGAAGGTCAGATTTAAACATCACCAAAATACACCTGAAATGTAAAAAAAAAATAATAATAATAATAATTAATAATAATAATAATAATAATAATAATAATAATAATAATAATAATAATAATAATAATAATAATAATAATAATAATTCTTGACCCCCTGTAGTACTAAATTATTATAAATAATAATTTTTGATGCTCGCTTGCCTCCCACACTTTTATGTAGCTTTGCCAGTGACCATAACTGGACACGCAGAAAACAAGTTTTGCTCGATTTTTCTTTAACTCTTGCATGGCCGAGTTCGAGTTCAATAATTATTATTCAAACTATCACTACTGCCAAGCAGCAGTACTGTATTGGCAGACATGGGGTCTCCTGTGTCAGGTGTGTAGCCTAGTAATGTTTGGCAAGCATGTGTGTGGTAGGTAGGTGATAATGATAGGTATGCCATAGGCCCTGCCCGTAGGTAATTGGTCACCTTTATTAGATGTAGTAATTATTTGGGAGATATGCGGTTGTGTGGCAGCCGCAGGTAAGACGTAACGTGTGGCAAACTGTTCTAGAGCCTGGGGTGAGCCTCGGCGCGGACGTGTGGTAAGCTGTACGGGGGGTATACTGAGTTTACCTAAGTTTGGTGCTTCAATTCGTCGTAAACACACTGTACTTGGC